GGGGAGCGGGCGGGGAGGGGAGGGGGGGGTTCCCTCACCTTCCTTTGCCGCCGTTAGCACCTTAACCCCCCGGGCTGCAGCTACGAGGTGACTTCTACCAAGTACACGCGGGACATCTACAAGGAGCTGTTGATCTCGCTGGTGGCCTCGCTCTTCATGGGGTTCGGGGTCCTCTTCCTCCTGCTGTGGGTCGGGATCTACGTCTGAGCCCGGGCGGGGGAGCACCGGTGCTGGCTGGGGAACTCCTGTGGCTGTAAGTGCCCTGAGGGCCGAATGCTTGGGGTGGAAGTCATAAAATCATAGAGCTTTCTGGGTTGGTAGGGACCTTTAAGATCATCTGGCCCAACCATCAACCTAACTCTGATAAAAACCATCACTAAACCATGTCTCTAAGCACCATGTCAACCCGGCTTTTGAATCCCTCCAGGGATGGTGCCTCAACCCCTTCCCTGGGCAGCCCATTCCAATGTGCAGTAACCCTTTCTGTGTAAAAATTGTTCCTAATGTCCATTCTAAACCTCCCCTGGTGTAACTCGAGGCCATTTCCTCTTGTCCCATGGCCTGTTCCTTGAGAGAAGAGACCGACCCCCACCTCTCTACACCCTCCTTTCAGGGAGTTGGAGAGAGCAAGAAGGTCTCCCCTCAGCCTCCTCTTCTCCAGGCTGAACAACCCCAGCTCCCTCAGCCTCTCCTCACAAGACTTGTGCTCCAGACCCTTCACCAGCTCCGCTGCCCTTCTCTGGACACACTCCAGCCCCTTGTTTTGTCTTTTTTTGTGGTGAGGGGCCCAAAACTGGGCACAGCACTTGAAGTGTGGCCTCACCAGTGCCCAGCACAGGGGGACATAATGTAGCCCAGCGATGGATGATCTTCACAAAAGCCACCTTTCTTCAGGGGCAAAGTTAGGAGGTACAAAGGGCTGTGTTGTCACCCCCCTTGCAGGCTTTTTTGATTAAGTGTTGCAGCTTCTTCAAGCTGCAAAGCAGCCGTGGGGTGACTCGGGTGGGGAGTGCTCCTGTGCCCCTCTGTTCTTGGGGGGGCAGAGTTGGGGTTTGTCCCCATCCGAGGCAGGAGGAAATTGTCTGTGCTGGGTGTTGTCACTGTCCCTTCCTCTGTGGCTTTAGAGGCAGCAGAGTCTGTCCCTGGGGAACGCTGTCTCACCGACCTCCTCCATCTCCCCTCTGGTTCCAGGTGGGAAGCCCTGCAGAAAGAAGCTCTTTTTTATATTTCTTTTATACTTTGACGTCAAAGTCTGTGTCAGGCATGGACTGTGCCGCTGCCGAGCGATTGAATACAAACCAAACCTGAATAAAAACTGCCTCTGTGATGCACCCACCTTTGGACTTGTGGTTTGTCTTTTAGATACCTTTTTGGTTTTTTTTACCTGGCTTTTCCAAACCGCTTTGATACTGGCGCAAGATCCCTGTGTGACAGGATGGGCCCCCTGTTTATCCAAGATTTCCACAGCTGCGTCTGCTCACAAGCTTTTTGGTGCCACCTGGTGCAGCTCGACTGTATAAAATAAGAGCTTCTTGCTTCTTCCTTGGCTTTTATATCCCTCAACCTTCCTTACCATCCCCTGTGGCCCCTTTTCCACATAGAGTAGCCACAGGCTGGGGCTGTTCTCAGCCTGACTGGACCCTGCATGGGCACATCAGGAAATACAGAGGACACAGGGAGGTTCCTCCATCCTCTGGGAAGCAGCTTTAGAGCCCCTGAAGGAAAAGAGTGTTATTTCAGAGGAAGGGAGGAAGGCGCCGGGAGCCCATCCTTGGATACAAAGCAGTATTTATATATTTATTTATACGGGCATATTTACCTCCAGCAAAAAAAAAAAAACAAAACAAAGTCTAAATAAGCCAAACAAAAAAAAAACCAAAACAAAACCAACCAAGGTGGGGAATCCGGAGACTCAGCACTCAAATTCAGCAAAATATAAATACAAATCAGAAAGAAAGGAGGGGGGGAAAACAAAACCACGCTTGTTCCCCACCGATAAAAACCAATAATGGATAATACCTGCTAAGAAGGCAACTCTACAAACCTGCTGGCAATATACAGTGATTAAAGCTGTGGCAGCAACATTTAAACCAAACAAATTAGTGCTTTACTTTATTTTTTTCTTCTTTTTTTTTTTGTTTCTTTTTTTCTTTCCTTAATTCTTGCAGTGGTGGCGTAGTCTCTATTTACAGGCTTTAAGCTCTTAACGGGAGGAGAGAATTTGGTGAATTTGCTTTTGAAACAAACTCCAAAAAGGGCCAAACTTCAAACTTTTCGGCGAGCTGCTTGGGTTTCCAGGCTCGTCCTTCCTTCCTTCCATCCTGCCAGGAATGTCTGGAGAGATGAAGCCTCCGGTGGGCTCAGAGCTCCCTCCCTCTCACGCCGGGAAAAGGCCTGATTGTGAACTCTCTTTGTTATTGATTGGGGATGGGGGGGAAACGTGGGTTTATTTGGGGCAGCGACACCCTTTGGGGTGGGGGGATCCACGCTTAGAAACAATCCCGTGACCCTTTAATCATGGCAAAAAAATCGGAGCTCGTTCCTGCCTCGCTGCGTGGTGGAACCGGCGTACGCTTTGTGAGGGACTTCAAGATCAAAAAAAACCATACTATTTGTGATACAAGATGCTTAAAAAACGTGTTCTGAGTCCCTCTCCACGTTCGATCCCAGGGATCGCTGCCGCTCCGCTGGGAAACAGCCGCGTTTTTGCGCTTCAGGTGTTGCCTCCTCTCAATTCTTCAGCCAAGCCGCCGCTTTTGAGGCACATGTGAGGAGCCACTGGTCCCTCCTGCTGTCCCCGTAGCAGAAAAAAAGGCACTAGAGATGTTTCTGTAGCCCCTCAGGCACTTGGGTTGCCAGCGGCCCCTCGTAAAACCCCATGGCTGAGCGTCGTGGGGACATCTGAGAGGACATCACCTCCTGGGCCACCGCTGTTTCTCGGTGATTGATTGATTCCTCCCCTCCAGGAGCGGCTTTTCCTGGGGCGAGATGGACTTGTGGGTCTTGGTTGACCTCAGCCAGGTCCACCAGTGAGGAGATGGCTTGGTGGTGGTGGTGACTATGGGCTGCATTGTCACCTCTGGTCCTCACAATGCCACCCGTCACCTCTTCAGGAGGGGATTTAGCCCGGCTCAACAACGTGAGGGCAAACGGTGGGTCTGGGAAGGCCACCCCTCAGCAGAACCCACGGCGAAGACCACGTGGTCATGGCTTGCCAGAATAAGGATGTGCCAGACTGGGCCACTGATTGCCAAGTGGAGAATAAAAGCTGCCAAGAAAGTAACTTCCCAGTTTGAGCCAAAAAAATTAAAAAAAAAGCTCAGGGCAGGTGGGAAAAGAGCTGAGCGGCCTCTCCAGGAGCTACGTCGGACTCGGAGGGTTTCCTTCCCAGTTGCAGGAGAAGCAGGGAATCCTGCTGAGCCTGGAGCTGACCTGCTTGTGCGTAGCTTCTCCCAAGCCTTGGGACATCTTGCTTTCCTGCTGCCCCCCCCCAAAATCGGGTGCTCCCCCAGCTTCACTGCCCAGAACTCCCCGCTCACCTGCTGGGATCATTTAGAGCATCTCCAAGGTGTAATGAAGGCATTTGCTGCCTGTAGGCTTAGAGAGGGAATGAAAACCTCACCTTGACACCACCCTACAAATAAAAAGCCTTTGGTGACGGACACCAACTCCTGGAGATGTCCCAAGGGCTGCGGCCATGGTGCTGGGACAAGCTGAAGAGCTCCAGAGATGGGTGGCAGGAGATAAAAGTGCTCCCCAGGCTGAGAAAAAGACGTGCAGGGTCCCACGAGGTGTGGAGAGGAACCATCTCTCTCTCTCTCTGGATGAAGAAAAAAGGACTTCAGGTGTTTGCAGCTCATTTCTCCGGAGCAGCGGAGCCAG